AGGGTTCTGTCATAGTCTGAAACTTTCTTGACTATATGTATCAATTCTTGCTGTATATATATATATATATTCTACATTGAATCAAGATTTTGTTTGAGTTATATATAGTGAGAGAGAGAGAGAGATAGAGAGAGAGAGAGAAGCACATATAATAAGGAGAATGAATTGAATGAATCACATAATGATGGCCTGATGGGAGCTGAGAAAGAAGTGAAGAAAGAAGCAAAAGCTTCTTTTTTTTTTTTTTTTTTTTTTTTTTTTTTTTTTTTTTTTTTTGGTATATAATTTGATCATTAATTTGCTATTGTTATACCATAGACCACCGATATCCATCTTATATTTTACATCGTGGACCCTGATAAAAAAAAAAGTTATATCTTAGTTGTTAATATATTATGTGTTAGATTTTCTGTTGATAAATTATGTGCTTGAAAATAATTTGAAAGCACATAATTTATTAATTACATACACACGTTAACAACATATTGTGTTCTTACCGTTAACATATTATGTGCATTTGTTAATATATCATATGTTTTCAATTTATATATGACATATAGGCCCTGTTTGGTAAACCAGTTATCCTATCAGTCAATTTTAGTTTATTTATCACTATTAGTTGTTTAACTTGGTTAAACAATCAATATAAGTGTTTGATTAATTAGTTTTTTGTAATAATTTATTGCTCCAAAAAGCTAAAATTCAAAAAGCTACTCAAAGTAGCTTTTTCGATCAGTTTTTTTAGAAAATCATTTTGTATGTAATCAGTTAACCGCTAACAACTAATTTACTAAACACTTTTCTACAATCAGCTAATATTATCAACTAGTTAGTCAAACTCACTAACTCAATTAGCTAACAGCCATTTACCAAACACCCTCATAATCTGTTAATTATAGGCACATAATATGTTATACATAATTTAAGTGTCATTTTAGATCAAGATTCACGGTGCAAGGTGAACCCTTGTCCATGGTATAGTTTGGCATTAATTTTAGTATGGGTCAATAGACAAATATATAATAACCAATTATTTTTCTGGCCTTGATTCTCCATCATTCAGTTTTGTTGTGCAACCTAGGATGTTAATAGTAAATTGGGATAATTGAGAGCTATTTCAGTTTTGTTGTGCAACCTAGGATCTTAACAGTAGATTGGGATAATTGAGAGCCACCTAAAAATTATGATCCAAAACAATTTAAAAGTAATTTTTTATAGATTTTTAAAGATTTTTATAAACTTTAAAAATTGAGAGGTACTAAATTCAAATTTTTAGGGAGTCTTTAAAAATTATGCGATATTCAATCAAGATTTTTAAAAAACATTTAAAAATCAGGTGGTATTTGAATAAGACTTGTAAAAAAATTTTAAAAAGTTATGCGATATTCAAAAAGTAATCTAATGAAAAATAATTAGTTAACTTGATGTTTTATTGGTGACTGAAAGTTGATATGATTGATGTTCTATTGATGACTGAATGTTGACAGGTGGTTTAAATTAAACTTAATATAAATGCACCTCCAATAACAACTTTGATTTACGGAAAAATCACAGCAACTGTTATTTCAATGTGTGTTCTAGATAAAGCATGTCTTGTTATGTCAAACCTGTAAAGGACCACAAAGTGGTAATGGATAACTCGTAAAAGGGATTAGTTTTGAATTTGAAACTTTGCGTTTACTAAGCCAATTATTAAGTGACTCGGCTAGGACCCATCTTCAATAAGAACTTGACATGGGGATAGGGTGGTTTATTTATTTATTTAATTTTAACTCTTTTGGGTCTTTCTTTTAAGCATTTAAATGAGAAAAATGTTTAAGTGGCTTGTGGTCCACTGATATTTAATTGCTCTCCTATGTGGTAGGTTTAGGTTTTGAGCCTTAGTGTAGGTGTAGGTTGTATAGGTATCCCCCTTCCTTTGTAATGAGAAAAATGCTATTTTTCTCTCATAAATTTATTTTTATCTCTAATGTTTACTTCCTAATGTGTTAATATGAATTTTCATATTCATAAATATAAAACTGAATTTAAAAAAAAAAAAAAAATCTACCTCATAATCACATATTTGGAAAAAAAAAAAAAAAAAAAAAGCAGTAGAAGAAAACAATCAAGTAATATTACATTTGAAGGTGGATTTGAATTAAGATGTACTCTTTAAAAAGTTACCTTAGAAATGTAGTAATACTCTTTAAACGATTTAGTGCAACACTAGATACGAAAAACATTTAAATTTATATATAATTTATTTATACATGATAATGATGTCTCATTTGATTAATTTGTTATGGAATTTACTAAGACCATCTCCCATGGGTACTGCAAATCGACAAAATAGCAAAAATATGGTAGTGGAACGCCTCCAATCAACACGAAAAAATGTCATTTTTTTTTTGTTGGAGTGAACAGTATTGTGCCAAATATGACGTAGTACGGTTGATCAAACAATAAAAATTGATGATTTTTTTTATTGTTTTGTTCTTATTCTTTTTTATTAATTTCTTTTATATCCTTTTTATTTAAGGTTATATTTACCTATTTTGTTAAATACATAAATATAAATTGTATATTATTAAAAATAAATTATACATTTGAAATATCTCATCAAGACGATTAAAACAAGATTAATATTGAATATAAATTAATTAAAAATTAAACTATATAAAACATAATTTTAACAAAATCAAATTATACTAAATATTATTATTTATATCACAAACTATATTTTATATTAAACTAATTAAATTCAAACTAATAAAATTTTAAATTTTGAGAAACTAAATTATTTTAGAATAGAATAACATTTGGTGTAATGGGTTCAAAATGAATAAAATTTATGGTGTGACATTTATAGGGCGTTTGGTTGAAGGGAATTTAAATTCCCTTCCCACTTAATTCCCACCTAATTCCAATGGCCACAAAATTCTCTTGTTTGGTTGAAAGGAATTGCAATTTTCCCATTTTCATGGAATTAAAATCTCATGTCCCCCCTGGAATTTTAATTCCTGGGATTTTAGGAAGAAAAAAAGATAGTGATAAGTCAAAATTACCCCTTCCGTTTTTAACCTAAAATTAATGGCTAACAACAACAATGGATATTTTTTACTTTATACTACTTATTCCCTTTCAATTCTCATGTATACCCAACATTAGAATTGAAATTCCCAGTAATTCTATTCCTGTAAACCAAACACTGAAATTTAAATTCCACTTTATTCTCAATAATTCATCTCCCATGAAATTGTAATTCTTTTCCCACGTAATTCCCCTCTCCAACCAAACGCTGTGTTAGTGTAAATTTTGGTGTTTTGGGTTGGAGATGCTCTAATAACTTAAAGATAACCAATAAATATCAATAGCAGTGAAATCGTTATTTTGTGATCCAAACGATTTTTGTAATTAAAGGCATTATATTGTGCAGTAATATTTAATAGTAATGTTGGATTTTGATTAATTTGAAGTCACGATAACAAAGTTATATATATATATATATATATATATATATATATATATATATATATATATATATATATATATAGTGAAAGGTTAACGTGCTGTGAATGCTTCCCGTGCGGATGTACGGTGGATTAATGTGCGTGAGATTTGTACTCAATGTGCGTGAGTGTTGTACTTAATGTGCCTGAGATTTGTACTTAATGTGCGTGAATGTGTAAAATGCAGCAGAAAATATTGATGTCAGCTTTTTCCCTATCCCCAGTAGCCATTTGCCCCCTCCCTAATGATGATGATGCGGAGGCGAGCTATGGTGGTTAAAAATTATGGGAATAATACGACAGAAATTCATACTTAGCTGCTGTGCAAATTTTACTGTGCGTGCGTCATTTATATAAACATTCAACTGCACTGAAGGTAGCTGATAATCCAGAATCCATGGCCAAATTGAAGGAAGAAGTAACAAGAAGTTTGGGCATTAATGTGCATGAGTTTCTTTTCTGCTTCCTTCTGAGCTCGTAATTCTGAAATACGCACGCACATTAAGCACAAATCTCACGCACATTAAACACAATACTCAGGCACATTAAGTACAAAACTCAGGCATATTAACATGACGCACATTAAGTACAAATCTCAGGCACATTGAATACAAATCTCACGCCCATTAAGTATAAACCTCACACACATTAATCCACCGCACATCCGCACGGGAAGCAACAAATGCACCTGATCCCTTCCTTATATATATATATATATATATATATATATATATATATATATATATATATATATATATATATATATATATATATATATATATATATATATATATATATATATATATATATATATATATATATATATATATTAATCGTTATGCTGTGCATCCGTATGCACCATGCATGGTGCATACGGATGCCAAAACGACGTCGTTTTATTAAAAAACGCGCGTCTCCCCTTTAAAAAAAATCCAGGTTCAATTCATAGCAACAACATTATATTGTTCATTCATTCTGGAATTTTAGTTCATAGATTATGGAATTATAGTTCATTGATTATGGAATTATAGTTCATCGATTATGGAATTGTAGTTCATCGATTCTGAAATTTTAGTTTATAGATTATGGAATTTTAGTTCATTCATTCTAGAATTTTTAGTTCATAGATTAGATTATGGAATTATAGTTCATCGATTATGGAATTATAGTTCATCGATTATGTAATTTTAGTTCATATGTTGTTGCTGGGAATCGAACCTGATTTTTTTTTTTAAGGGGAGACGCGTGTTTTATTAAAATGACGTCGTTTTTGCATCCGTATGCACCATATGCACATCATAATTTGCCTATATATATTGAATCTGGTGAGGTCACCTCATTTAGGTGAGATTGTGAGATCAGATCCTAACTATTAATATATTAATTCATTGGTTTAGATTTCTTTTGTTTTTTTTTTTCCAATCTGTGTGCCTAGAATTTTAATTAGGGGGTATTTAAGTAATTTAATAAATGTATGCATCTTTGTATTTTTGGTTTAACTGTGATTCTCTCTTATCATTAATACATAGCCTCCATTATTTTTTTCTGACTTGTAATCTTCCCTCACTTCACGCGTACACACTCTCTTGTTGGTTTCTCTATTCAAAATCCTGGAGTGACCATGGATGCTTCTACACTGCGTCAATCCAAACGACTTAAGAAGTCCACGCTGGTGTTCAAGGTATTCTTTAATTTTACTCTGTTTTCTTCCTTAGCCGCCGTTGTTGTTTGTGTTTTTCATTATTTTTTTGGGGGTTATGGGTTGCGGTTGGTTGGTGGGTTTTTAGGCCCCGGTTTGCAACCGTGGGAGGGGGTGAGGTCCGTATGGGTGTTAGTTAGGGTTTAGATAGGGTTGGAGTCGCCGCAGATGGTGAATTTCTGGTTCGTTTTCCCAGTCGATGGGGAGGTCTAGGTTTTTTTTTTTTTTTTTGATTTTTTTTAATTGAGCTTGTGGTTGTTGGTCAGGTGGTGAGTTTTCGGTGCGGGATGGGGGTGTGATGCGTAGGGTTGTTAGTTAGTGTTTAGTTGGGGTTGGTTTCGCTTGGGGAGGGTGTGGTTGGAGGCGGTTGGGTTGTGGGGGATTTGGGTTTTGAGTTACAGTCGACTGGGGGTGAGCGGTCGGCGACGAGTGATAGCGATACACTGGGTTGAGGGAAATGGGTGGGGTGGTGGAATGGAGGATGGACTATGCATGTGCATTTAATGTATAGTCTTTTTTACATAAATATTTATCTTTATTATGAAGGTGTGTAGGTCCTAAATGGTTGTTATAACTTTACTGTATAGTTTGTGTGTTGTGTTAAATTGGTGTTTAAAGGTTGAGTGGTCTGTGCATTTATGTATATGCGTTTGTGTTTTTTCGTGTTATTTAAATTGGTGTTTTTTTGCAGTGAAATCGTTATTTTGTGGTCCATACGATTTTTGTAATTAAAGGCATTATATTGTACAGTAATATTAACCCAATAGGGTAGCTCAAGTGACAAATGAGCTCTTTTTGTGGGGGAGAATTCTAGGATAATCCCGGTTTGATTCCCACAAGTGACGATTCCCTTTGGGCCAGCTCCTGTGCCTCTCGGAGCGAATTAGGTGAACCAGGACTGTTAAACAGACAGAGAAAGAACCGGTGGTTTACACCAAAAAAATTGTACACTAATATTTAATAGTAATTTTAGATTTTGATTAATTTGAAGTCAAGGTAACAAAGTTATATATATATATATATATATATATATATATATATATATATATAGGATAATGGCTCTTTTAAAAAAATTTTATTCAAAATGTGCACTTGAAGGAATAAAAATGTGCATTTGAATGCCTAAATTATGCATTTAAAGGCACATTGTTGTGCACTTGAAGACCGACATTATGCACTAATCCAGAAGTGTGCACTCAAAGGCATAAAAATCTACACATGAAAGCACACAAATGTGTATTTGAAGGCCAAAAATTTGCAATGGAATGCACAAAGTTGTGCAATCGAAATAATTTATGGTACCAAAAAGAAAAGTTATTCAACTTAAATGTTAGTTTATATATTGAAACAATTACTCTTACAAATCGTTTGTAAATTTCATAAATTTAATTAGAAATTTAGTTATACGTTATTGAAAAGAATGCAAAAGATATAATAAACATTGGCCCATAAATGTGCACTCAAAGGCACAAAAATGTGCACTTGAAGACCAAAATTCTACACTTGAAGGCACAAAGATATGCAATTGAAGTAATTTATGGTACCAAAGGAGAAGTTATTCAACTTAAGTGTTATTGAAGCAATTATCCTTACAAATTGTTTTTAAATGTCACAAATTTCATTAAAAATTTAGTTATGCATTATTGAAAATAAAGCAAAAGATATAATAAACATTGATGATTCATAATTGTGCATTTGAAGACACAAAAATGTTCACTTAGACGCATAGAAATGTGCACTTGAAGGCCAAATTTTTACATTCAAAGGGAAAACTATGTACTGAGACAAAACATATAAACTCAAAAAATAAAAAATATGCACTCGAAGAATAGAATATATATATCCAAAGAAGAAAAATGTGCACTCAAAAACAAAAAACATCCGAACTAACTTACATAAATTTATAATAATACCATTGTATTTTTTTAATTACCTTTATTTTTGACCCTTGATCTGCACTGAATCAATAAATGAGATTAAACCATATTTTTCACCTAAGCTAATCTTCTCACTTAATTGTCTTCATTATTGACTCACGATTGTATTAAGTATTAACTCTTGAAAAGTTGAAAACGACAAATGTAAAAACAGAAGAAATTTACTGCCTTTGGGATTTAAAGCTGCAAATGAATATGCAAAAGCAAGTAAAAGCCGAAAGACAAGGCCAGAGACGACTGCACATAGCAGGTTGTCTCCACTACAGTGAGAATTTCAAAATATTATATTATTGAATTCACAACCTTTGGGATTATGATTCTGACATTCCTAATTTATAAGTAATTTAACATTAAAAATTTAAAAATTATAACTATTAACTTATTCTGAAATGTTATTTAACTAATTATTTTAAACTTTTTTAAAATAAATTATTATTTTAAACTCTTTATATTTTACCAAAAAGAGCTTATAATCTATTTGTAAATTAAAATAAATTATAAAGTCTAAATTAAGCCTATCAAATATATGAAATGAAATTAGGATGGTCGTTTTTGTCAAAATTAATTTTAAACCAATAAGTATTATATTGTAATATTTTGTACATAAATCATTTAATTTTTTTTTTTTTTTTGAAAGCTACTGGTTCTATTACATTGTAGTATCTGTTCATATACTTTCTCAACCTACTGAAACACAAAGAACCAATAACGCCTCCACTGAGGCTCGAACTCATAATCTTCCAAATGGAAGTCCAACCCGGATACCATTTAATTAATTGAAAGGAAATTTGTAATTTTAGGTTATAAGTTATTTTATTTAGTCATTTTAGTCTATAATAATTGTTAAAAGCAAAATCAATTATCAATGTAGCCAAATATGGTGGGTGACGACAAAAGTTAAAGTTAGATTATACTATTTGCACTTCCGAAATACTCTTTCATTTTAAAAACTAAATCATATTGAAATATCATTATATTTGCAATTTATAACTATTTTCCTTTCATCCTTATAATTTCAACTCACTCTCAAAATATAATATAATAAAAATCACTTTATTAAAAAAAAAAAAAATTTCACCCCACATGATTGACGATGTTAGATTTGCAAGAATTACAAATGTTGTCATCCTTATAATACACTTAAGATTTAAAATAAAAAATAATATGAAAATAAACATGTCATTTTACGATTCACATCGATTTATACTAGCGCAAGATAACTTACATAAACCAAAGTTCTATATATTTGATTACATTGAAGACTAATTTTGTAAGTATGCATTAAAATTGTATCTTTTTCCCTCAATTATAATACATTATATACCAATATGGAACGAAATATTTGTTCTTCTATATGGTACAGAGTTTGTACACCGGAATACGTACAAATTTGGATTTATTTATTTCATGCAAAAGTCCAAGTCTATAAAGCAACAAGATTTCACTATAATCCCAGCATTGGCTTTGAAGAATGTGTGTAATTTACTGTACCTTTCTTCCGGGGCGGAGGTACGTGGGTCGATAGGGGCCTTGGCCTCATCCCTACCCTACCCCACCCTTACCCCATCCTAAAAATTTTAATAAATATTTATGTATATATTACTATTATATTAAGAATATTTTTTTTTGACCCTGCTCAATTTTTATTTTAAAATTATATTATGTATATATTAAATAGACAAAAAGTTGTGTGAGATTGTCTAATGGATCTTTGTTTCGAAGACGGGTTGGGTTGTAGATAACTAGATGATGAATTGCTCAATGAAGGTACATTTTTGTAAGTATTAGAATTTCAGTTATGAGTATTACAATATTTATCATTACTAACAATCAATTTTACCTTAAATAATATCACAATTTCAAATATAAGAATTACATTAAGGTACAGATAGACCGTTGAACTATTTGGGAATAGCAATTAGTCGGAAGGCATTATCAAAATTTTTTATTTTCCTGTATTTATATTCTTTCTCATCTCTTTTCAAACTAGTTTCCAAATTATTATTACCACCACTACCATCAAATCACCACAACAACCAGAACCACCACCACCACTTCTATTATTATTATTATTATTATTATTATTATTATTATTATTATTATTATTATTATTATTATTATTATTATTATTATTATTATTATTATTATTGTTATTGTTATTGTTATTGTTATTGTTATTATTATTGTTATTGTTACTGTTACTGTTACTGTTACTGTTACTGTTATTGTTACTATTGTTATTGTTATTATTGTTACCCGTGCAATGCACGGAATAGAATTGTTGTAATATATTAAGAATATTTAAATCGATATATAATTATTTAATAGTTAATTTTACCGGAGCTCGCTTATCTTTCCTGACAATTCCAAATTTAATCATAGACTATAGTTATTAATTATTACGATTTATTCTATGTTATAATTCTTACGTTAATATTCTTACTATTATTATTAACACTTAATTACTTTTAGATATTATTTTTACCACTTATATTATTATTATTATTATTATTATTATTATTATTATTATTATTATTATTATTATTATTATTATATTATTATTATTATTATTATTATTATTATTATTATTATTATTATTATTATTATTAGTTTCTTTTCAAGTTTTGTTAGTATATAATGGCCGTGAGGCACACAATAATAATATAATCATAATTAAATATTCTTGTATTGTATTCCATGAGTCACAATAATAATATAACAATAATTAAATATTCTTCAATTCTATATTCTTCTAGGATTTTAATTACCATCATTAATTATTCTCTAATTTATCATAATTGAATAATTTGACCAATTATAAAGAGAGATTATTAAATAATGCACGTGAAAATTTTTTAATTAAAAATTTTAAAAATTTATTAATAAAACATAAGGTTCTCATAGTTTTTCCGTAGAAACTATTTAATAAAGCATTTTTTTTAGAAATTGGTGGGCCAAACCGCCTACGGCTGTTTGTGGTGGATAGATCTCGAAAAAATACGCAATTTCAAAAAAATATTTGTCCAAAACAGACAACCGAGTCAA